AGCGCTGTCCCTGGCGGAGTGGGACTTGGACTTGGAGTGATGTCTCTTCCTGCACAAGCTGGAAATGTAGAGCTAGAGGTGTGTGTGCTGGAGAGAAGCACCGAGCAGGCTGCAGACACTGCATTCGTGTTTACTGCTAATGCCCAGGGCAGGGCTCCGGGGAGTCCCAATCACTGACACAGCAAAGGCTTTTTTTTTTAAATAGGTTTTTATTGATTTTTAGAGAGAGAGGGAGAGAGAGAGAAATATTGATGAGAGCGAAACATCCACTGGCTGCCTCCTGCTGGGGATCAAAGCCGCAACCTGGGCATGTGCCCTCACTAGGAATCGAGCCCGTGACCTCCTGGTATGTGGGTCGACGCTCAACCACTGAGCCACACTGGCTGGGCGGCCAAGGCTTGTTTCCAGCTCAGGTCCCAGTCCACTGCAGGTCAGGACTTTTCCGATGCCTCCCCTCCCTCGGTGACCAGCAAAGCCAGGCTGCTTGCATTTAACACCCTGCCTTCTTGGCATTCTCTGCTTCCAGCTGTGCATTCGGTGGGGAAAGAACACGGGGGCTGGTGTTCACGCTTAACCGCCTCTGGCTGCGATACCTCATGTCTGCTCACGTTCCAGTGGGCAAGGCCGGAGATGACAGGTGCACGTGTGCCTGGTGAGGGCTGACTGCCCACCCTCACCCCCCGCCCCGTGCCTTGGCGTGACCCCTACATTCCAGTGCCCGCGGACCCAGAAAACACTTTACCTGGGCTTGCTCTGTCTCTGATCTGGACTCGGAGGAGATTGATGGGTAAACTGGATGGAATGGGAGTTTACTGCTTTACAACAGGAATTGTAAGCGTGGAGCCGGCCAGAGTATTCTCACTTGGAGCGAGCAGGCCGAGTCCTTCCTGATAAAAAATCTACAAGTGAGGTCAGTGATGGCCAGGAATTGCTTACAGAGTCTGAGATCAGTCCGTCCGTGAAATGACTAATGGCGAGCTGGACGTGGCCTTCCCTGTAGGATGTTTTCACAACAACCTCTGAGTTTGCCGGACGCTCCTCCTCGGCAAAGCTGGACACACCTAGTATTTGCTCCTCAGGCTCCAGCCGTGAATCAGAGCCCGGCGATGGGTCCCCTGGGAGTTCTGTTGGCCGAGGTTCGCAGCCACTGGAATAAAAAGGTGATGCAATCCAGCAGGCTTCCACTGTGCTAGTTACAACCCCATTAACGCATGCTTTCTGGAGACAACGCCCACGTCGCCCTAACAAAACGGGTTTTCTCAAAACTCGTCAGATACTCAGTTACCCCGGGGCCCTCGGAGAACGTTCCTGGAACGGGCTGTTTTCACCCTGATTTCACCCGCAGAGTAGCAACCCTGAAGTTGCGAGTGATCCCAGATCACCCCTCCAGCGGGGGTGGCTTCGCAGGGAGTGTGGGCTTGTCTGTGCTGCCTGGGGAAGCCCCTCTTGGCAAGATGCTTGGAAGAGGCTCCAGCAGGCAGAGCTTGGAGGATGACCGCATGAAAAACATTTTTTTTATTGATTGATTTAAGGGAGAGAGAGAGAGAAACATCCACTTGTTGTTCTGCTTATGTATACATTCAGGGGTTGATTCTTTTTTTAAATTTCTTTATTGGTTAAGGTATTACAAATGTGTCCTCATCCCCCCATCATGGGTTGATTCTTATATGTACCCTGACCACAGATCAAATCTGTAACCTTGGTGTAGCGGGACCACAGTGCCACCCACTGAACCACCCAGCCAGGGCAGGATGGCTGCATTTTAGGAGGATTTACTTCACAGTGGGAAAGCCCTTTCCAAAGGAGATGTCCATCAACAGTGTGCAACATGAGGCCTGCCCCCAAAACACTGCCCCAATCACGCACCCGCGCACAAGGGAAGAGGATAGACTTCTGTACCCTGTGTGCGCCCGGCACTTCACACAAGACATGGAGTCCTCCAAGGGGTCCTCTGGGCGGCTATCCTCCATTTACAGATGAAGAAGCAGGCCTGCAGAGAGTTTGCCCAAGGTCATTTGCCCAAGGTTACATCTCGAAAGTGGTGAAGCCAGATGGGTATTGCTCCTGCCCCACTGACACCTTTCCCAGCGCTGCCCCCACCCAGAAGTCGAGAGCAGCAAGCCGAAACTGCATCTTGATCTCACAGGAGCCTGAAATGAAGCCTCCGGCCCCTGGGAAATCTGACCCACATCCTGCTCCCAGGGCTCCCCCGGTGACACAAGGTGTTTCCCTCCTCCAGTTCGTGCTCACCGTGGTTTGCCTTTTAAAGGGAAACTGCGCCCGGCCTGCGTGGCTCAGTGGCTGCGTGTCGACCTATGAACCGGGAAGTCAAGGTTCAATTCCTTGTCTGGGCCCATGCCCGGGTTGTGGGCTAGATCCCCGGTGTGGGGCGTGCAGGAGGCAGCTGATCCATGATTCTCGTAACTGAAGTTTCTTCCTCTCTCTTTCACTCTCCCTTCTGCTCTGAAATCAATAAAAATACATTTTTAAAAAATAATTGGAGAATTAACTGGTAACGGATGCAAACTCCCTCCTGCCCGGCACACCATCCATGCGGAATCTGTGGTGGCCGGGATCTCTGGTACTGGCAGGGGGATGGCGGGGAGGGAGGCAGGAGGGAAGTAGCTGACACTGTGTTACTGGGTTGATCCTCACAGTAAATGTGAGCCTATGTTACAAAAATGCGGAAGCTCAGAGAGGTTAGGTAAGATGGATCAGGGCCACACAGCCAGGAAGGGTCCAGATTCACCCACTCTTTACAGCTGTGGGCTGTAAGCTTCTCCAGGCTGCTGTGCCCACTCTCTGAGCAGCTGAGGGGTTGTCAGTAGAACCGGGAGGCGTGATGGTGCAAGGGTAGTAACCAGGGCTGCCTTCGTGGGCAGTTACACACAACTCCACACTTACAAGACCCTGCAGTTGGTCTAATGCTCTCCCGTCCCCATTTTAATATTTCTATTAATTTTTAAAATACATTTTTATTGATTTCAGAGAGAAAGGGGGAGAAACATCAACGATGAGAACCATTGATTGTCCCCCACTATTTCCCCGCCCTCGTCCCCCGCACACCCCACATTGGGGATAGAACCCACAACATGGGCATGTGCCCTGACTGGGAATTGAACCGGTGACCTCTTGGTTCATGGGTTGATGCTCAACCACTGAGCCACACCAGCTGGGCTCTGTGGATTCTATAACCAGCAAATTACTTAGCTGGTCCTGGCACTGTCACCACACTGGTCAAGGGCTTTGGAGCAAGACAGCCCGGGTCTTGCTTCCTAACTCACCCACTGTGTGACCTGGAGCAAGCGGCTTAACCTCTCTGTGCCTCAGTTTCCTCACGTGGAAAGCAAGAACAACCTCAGAGTGACGTTGTAAAGATTAGCACTGTGTAATTAGCCCCAAGTAAATACCACTGAGATGATATATTATTTGCCTTATAAAGTGCTTAGCACAGGTCCTGACTCAAA